GGAAGCAACATCAATATGTCAAGTCTGTAGAAGGTGTGTATTTTAAGAAGTGTATTTTAAATGAACACACACCCTTGTCATGAGGCTCCCCTGATTCTTGGTGTTTGCAGGAGGAAATCTATGCACAAAGATTACATGACTAACAGGTGAACAGATGAACACTGGAGGTGGGGAAGCTGGGTAATGTTGGAATAGGACTAACCCCTAATATGGGGCAAATGATGTAGTACTGTTGACCTACCTTACAAGCTTACCTAATAAGGATTAATTATAACACTTTAAAGCCTCATACTTGTTTGTTATATTTTAATATATGCATTTTACAGTTACAAATAGCTTCGTTATATAAGGAAGATGCTAGGGGAAGTGCAAGAACATTAAGATTCTGATAAGTGGAAGAGTCTCACCTTCTTGGAGCTGTTTTACATGGCAGCCTTCAGAATACTTTGTACTCCCAATGACAGGTGAATATGAGCTCCTTTAAAAGGAGCTTGGTGCCCAATGGAAAAATCTCACATTTTGAACACTGAAATTCTTTATGCGTATCTGTGCTTTTTGTCTCCACTGTTGTTCCCATACTGATCTAAGTGCAAAAAAAACAACTTCTGGTTGTTTGTCTCTTCCATGCAGTAACTGAGGAACCAGGTGCCTTTTTGCATGAACTCAGATTAGAGAGGACACAGCTACAGAGGCAGCAAATCAAACACACTTAGACATATATACGTGCAGGGAAGTTACGCCCAGTCAGTTTCATTAGCATGCAAACCTTAACTAGAGCCAGTCTTCCACAAGAGAAAGTTTGTTTTCTGCGAGAGACCCTAGTGTAGGTGTAGAGAATCTTTGGCCCTCCAGAGGTTGCTGAACTATAACTCTCTGCACTAATGCTTCACACAAACTTTACAGGATGGTTTATTTTGGCACAGAACTGAGCTTATTGTTCAATAATTGTATAAGAGTGGCTAGATGTACCTATTTTATTAAATACATTTGTTGGCCCTTCTAGAGTTTATTTTTCTGTCACATTTTTTTTTAAATAAAGAAAGTAAACAAAATTTAACATTATTTTAAAAACCCTCCATCTTCTGTTCTACCCCAAAGGGCAATCTCAGTGGAGAAGAGAGTTATTATAGAAGCTAGGTAGCTGTATTACAATGATTGTCAAAATCCTGCTAAAGCAAAATGATCTAACTGGCCGAATGCCTAGTCCAAGGATATCCAGTAATGAAAGTGCTTCATCATTGGAAAGAATAGCTGTAATATACATAACAACCTACAGAACACTAAATTAGGTGGGTTTCATTTGTAATATGTAAACTGCACCAACTATGCTGCAACAGGATTCAGACAGATTCCAACATGTTGGATTAATAAATATTAAAGACTATCAAGTACTAAATGGTGCTTACATTTCCGGGAGACATAAATATATCAGTTTGTGTGATCAGTCAGCTCTTTAGCGTCAGAAGCGGATATATTTATATCCCCCAGAACATCAAACTGACAGGCACCCACCAACAAGCAACAAGTGAAATCCATTTCTGACAACATTGTTGCTTACTTGGGCTAATTCATAGGAGCCAACTCCTAGAGGCCAAGGTCCCTTCACCCCCCCCCATAGAATATCTGAAGGGGCCAGCCCCCCCCCCCCCCAGTTAATGGGAATCGCCATTCAAATGATGTGCATGTGCTGCATCTTGTGATCGATTATGCAGGCCGGGACTTACCTGAGCCCCTCAGTATTTTATTCAAGTTGGCACCCCTGGGCTAATTACATTGAAAAGACCTGCATCTGCATTAGACAATCACATGTTGTGCCCACTTTGCATGATTTAAAATCAGAACAAACATCCTAATTAGGAAGAATGAGATGTCCTTCAGTGCTAAAATAAGATTTGGTGTAATGGGTGAAACATGTTACAGAAAAATGTTTTGGGCACAGCTTCAGTAAAGAAGTATAGTGGTACCTCGGGTTAAGAACTTAATTCATTCTGGAGGTCCGTTCTTAACCTGAAACTGTTCTTAACCTGAGACACCACTTTAGCTAATGGGGCCTCCTGCTGCCACCAATTTCTGTTCTCATCCTGAAGCAAAGTTCTTAACCCGAGGTACTATTTCTGGGTTAGCGGAGTCTGTAACCTGAAGTGTCTGTAACCTGAAGCATCTGTAACCCAAGGTACCACTGTACTAGTAACATCTTGAGAGCAGTTGCACTGTAAAGATACAAAAGTGTACGCAATCAGTTTGCGAAAATAAATTGTCTGAATCCAGGAAACAGAATAGGGCTGTGCCATGAATGAGACTCCTCACATACCTGTCTGTTGTGAAAGGTTTGTTTCTTGAAACTTTCCCTTTTGAAAATACACAGATTCAGGACCTGGGAAAGCTGTGGGCCCCAAATTTCAAGTGTGTGTGTGTGTGTGTGTGTGTGTGTGTGTGTGTGTGTGTACTTCTACGGAGGGGCAGAGGTATTAGCAAATCTGCTTGTGTGCCAGTGCATGTGTGCCTGGGAACCCATGTCTCACAGTCACAAAAGATTCACAAAATCTTCACTGGAAATGACTGTGCACCACAAGCATTATTGCAATGGTCATGATTGTCTAGCTTGCATTGGGGAATTTAGCAATAATCACACCATTGTTATAATTAGAATAGTTATTCACAAAAATAGCTTAAAGGGGAGTTTTTTAAAGGTTTTAAGATTGTGAAGTGTAGTTATAGAAGGATAATATGCTTAATGGTCACACATGGCATAGGCTACCCACCCCATGGATCCTGGACTATACCAGGCATAGGCAAACCTGGCCCTCCAGATGTTCTGGGACTACAACTCCCATCATCCCTAGCTAACAGGACCAGTGGTCAGGGATGGTGGGAACTGTAGTCTCAAAACATCTGGAGGTCTGAGTTTGCCTATGCCTGGACTATACACTTTGACTGTGTGATAGGAATTTTATGGTTTTAGATATCTGGCAACGTTCATAACCACACGTACATAGATCAGCACAGGAAAGCCAACCTGGAACCATTTTGATTCCTAAACTGAGCAAATGTTTCTCTGCATGGTAAAAATGGAAAAGCCTCCCCATTGTCTCTTTCCTCACAAATCCTGTCTCAAGGATATGTCTGTTTGAATAAGGTGTGAGCCTGTGACCTGGCCCAGGAAATAAGTATTTTACCACTACAAAAGAATGGCCAGGCTCCCCAGGCAATCCAATCAAGTAACTTGCCAGACAGGAGATAAACTGTGACAGGAGAAAAACAACATTTAAATTTCTGTGATGTAGGTGGGATGTATCTGAGGGGTGGTCTTAGGTTACACCCCTTCTGTGATGTATGCATAATGTTTCTGGGGGTGGTCTTGATCTAGAGGATGGGAATTTCAAAAGTCTTTATAAGCCCTTGCACAGCATTTTTGTGGGTCCTCTTCCTCTCCTGCGTGTGAGGGAGCACCCTGTTGCAACAGATTAATAAAGATCAAGCTTACTAGCTGCTTTGCTTCTCAATATTCTCTGGTTGGCCTCTGTTATTTTCTCCTACCAATAGGGAACCTATGTAAGGACTCTATATGGGCTCTTGGATACCCCATAAGGGAAAAGGGCATATTTTTATTTACAACAACTGTAATCTTAACCCCTGGAAGGCAGTGGTAGGGCTTAATGGAAAGGGGAAACCAACACTGCAAACTACTGCTATGCCATCCAGGGCACCAACACTGCAAACTACTGCTATGCCATCCAGGGCAGAACCAGTGAGGAATAATAATAATAATAATAATAATAATAATAATAATAATAATTTATAACCCGCCCATCTGGCTGGGCTTCCCCAGCCACTCTGGGAGGCTTCCAACAAAATATTAAAATACAGTAATGCATCAAACATTGAAAGCTTCCTTAAACAGGGGTGCCTTCGGATGTCTTCTAAATGTCAGGTAGTTGTTTATCTCTTTGACATCTGATGGGAGGGTGTTCCACAGGGCGGGTGCCACTACTGAGAAGGCCCTCTTCACTGTGTCAGCTTCCAGGTTCACAAAAAAAGAGATGGGCAAGGTCTGAAGCATGCTCAAAACATGGTTGATAATGCACAGACAAGGCTCTTGATATAGGCAGCAGAAAACGTATCACACCGGGGCCAGCCCAAGACATTTTGGCACCTGAGGCGAATCACAAAATGCCCTCACCCCAGGCAGGGAAGAAGGGGTGAGTGAATAAAAAATAAGGGGGTGATGATGATTTACATCCCGATTTACAGCAGGGACAAGAGTGGAAGGGGACCAGCAGTGCCTTTTACTCATCAAGATGCAGCTGTAGAAGCAGGATTTGGGGGGGGGGGCTGCGGAGGAGGTGGCAGATCTGGCCTCCAAGGAGCACACTGTGGTGGCAGGTGATGCATTCTTGGAAACTGGATCTCCTGCCCTGTATCGCGCCTATTGTCACCAGGGTGCTCAAATACCATAAATCAAAAATGCAAATATAGAAATGGTTGCGATAGTGTAAACAGAAAAGAAATACCGGCCTGTAATGGGGAAGACAGTGGCCATGTGACCTGTGGAGGTCTGCTCAGCCTGCTGTCCAGATGCTCTGCTAACTGCTGATGGGCTTGTTGTTATTTACCGGTATCTTAAAACCAGACTTGGTCTGGACATCACTTCAAAAGAGGGCTGTGCTCTTGTCAATTGCAAACAGTAAAGTACAAACTATATGAAGGCGCTGGTTTGGTGACGCCTGCCTCTTATACTTAACTGATCAACACAACAATGCTTGCTCTGTTTTAGCCTCCGGCTTCCTCACACCCTCCAGACGACGATTCAGATAAGGCTGCTTACAGCCAGGGCTGTCCCAGGAGCTTTAAATATATGGTGTGAATGCACCCTTTGACACTGCTAAAAGGAAAGAATGTCTTTCATTCACATTTTCCCCTGTTGAAGAATCATAGAATTGTAGAGCTGGAAGGGACCACAAGGGTCATCTAGCCCAACTCCCTGCCATGGGGGAATCTTTTGCCCAATGTGGGGCTCAAACCCACAACCCTGAGATTAAGAGTCTCATGCTCTACCAGCTGAAGTAGCCCAGGTCCTAAGCGTTAAAGTACTCTGAGGAGAAATAATAATAGCATTTATTTATTAAAAAGATAAGCTTGCTTCAAGCACCATGGAGACCTGACCATTACAATTTGGTAAATGGTCATTTGTATTCACCCAGTTCCTATGTCTTATCTCTCATTCTCATGAAACCAGTGCACAGGAACGACATATTGTACCACATTTATACTAATATATTTGGTTTTGGTTTTTGTTCAAAATTTAAATATTCCTGCAAGCTCCCCTTTGAAGGTGCAAGAGCTACATATAATATTATTATTATTATTACTACTACTATTACTACTACTACTACTACTACTACTACTGCTACTACCCACCCTTTACCCTAAGGTCCCAAGACAGGTTACAACAATTAAAACTACTCAAACTTCTCACCTACATGGAAACACTGAAAGCTGCCTTATACAGAGTCAGGTCACTGGTCCAACAAGCTCAGTATTGTCTACACTGTCTGACAGGGTTTCAAAGAAGTCTTTTCCAGCCCTGCATGGAGATGCCAGGGGTTGAACGTGGAGTTTTCTGCATGCAAAACATGTGCCTCTGCCACAGAGCAACAGCCGATCCCCAAATGCTCTCCTTATAATCATTCAGGTACCAGTTATTCATCCATATGCTGATCAACTAAAAAAGGGAAGAGGCGCAGTTTGACACGCACAGCTAAAGGTCTAATTCACTGAGGACATTTGGCTACCTGTGAACAACATTTATATGGTGACTCAGTAACAAGCAGTCCGCTGAAAGACTATTTTTCGTATTTTTTTTTTAAAAAAAACAACCACCACCTTTCACAAGAGGTTTAAAATCAATATCGGCAGACTTCTGCTGCAATTACACTGATAAGATGAAGATAGTAGCTAGGGGACTGTTTCAGGAAGAAACTGGTGAAAGATTATACACCGCTCCAACATTATTAGCAGAGTCAGTACGCTACCGCTAATTAGAGCCGTGAGCTCTTGTTCCAAAGCCGACTTTGACCGATTTAAAAATGGCATCACTCCCTTTTTCTTCTAAGGAAGCAGCCTAAATTAAGAGAATTCAAATAGAGGAAAGATGAGGGAGAAGCATGGGAGGCATTTTCAGCTTGCACAATGTAAAAATCACATCTCCTCCCCTAAATTTTCAATTCCATGGAATAATTTCAGTTCATCCAAACGCTACCCAAAGTAATGCCATGTGTTCAGTTATCCTAATAGAGTTAATTTACAATTGGAGGAAGTGTTCACTTAAGAGGCAACACCTCCTTTCTTTGTTACAATTAATAGCAATTGCCACACTCTATTCAAGCTGTCAGTAAGAAAGACAGTTTGCCATAAACATCTGTTTCCTTTCATTTGCGCAGACATCTCTAAACAGCTCTGTTCCTTAGCCTAATGCACAACTACATTAGGACTTCTACAGCAGGGCCCACTTCAAAGAGGGATCCTAGAAGTAAAGGTCAACATAAGATACGCAGTTCTATAGTGATGATTCACAGATCACTTACACAGGAGTAATCTGGCATATTTCAATAGCATTACAGCAGCACAGCTGGCCTCTAAATTGTCCTTAGTTTCCACTGTTACTCAGAACTACTATCAACAGGCTGTAAGCCTAACCTTACTTACCTAGGAGGAAGACCCATTGATTTCAATAGGACTTACTTCAGAATAGGGTGGCACTGTTAGTTAATGAAACCAAATACTTATTTCAATAAGCTGTTCGTAGCATTGCCATATACTTCTTGTTGTTGTTTAGTCGTTTAGTCATGTCTGACTCTTCGTGACCCCATGGACCAGAGCACGCCAGGTAGTCCTGTCTTCCACTGCCTCCCGCAGTTTGGTCAAACTCATGTTGGTAGCTTCAAGAACACTGTCCAACCATCTCGTCCTCTGTCGTCCCCTTCTCCTTGTGCCCTCAATCTTTGTGCCATATACTTAACCACCAATAAAACCTAATCAGCAGTCCAAATTCTCCTGAAGCAAAAGCTTGTCTATATCAGCCTTCCTCAACTTGGTATCCTCTGGATATTTTGGATGGCAACTCATAGGAGCTCCAGCCAGCGTGACTTGAGGCTGATCAATATTATCCTGCCAAGTGATAAGGAAGATTTTGCCATGGTCAATTATACATTCTCAATCTTAGGCCACAAAAAGAAACATTACTACCAAAACTAACAGCTATACAGATTGCATGCATCATCTTTCTTTGATATATGCTTTATTTTATCTATATCCAGGGCTTTTTGTTTCCAGCCAGAACTCGTCAGTTCCAGCATGTCTCAGGTGGGCACCATTGCCATTATAAGAGAACATGAGAGGCGTTCATGGTGAGTTCCGGCACCTCTTTTCCTAGAAAAATAACACTGTTTATATCCCACCTTCCCAGCACATCATGGAACTCAACTGCGGTTCCAATCAAGACTGGCATGGGCAGAGGAATAATACATGACATTACTGACCTCTTCATCCTAAGTGCATAGAGGGATGCATTCCACATGGTGGATCAAAAGCTATGTAAGCCTAGTGTGGGAGAAATCGGAAAGTATTGAGAACTGGCTGTTTCTATTTTTATCTAATGTTTCAGCTGAGGATTTTCATACTGTGCAGGAGACATCAAAATGAAAGAAGACTGGGTTGTAATTCAGCAGCTCCTCCTTGGCTTCCTTTTCAGGGAGAGAAGACCAGGGATACAGTCACATGCACACACATTTGGTGTAGATAAGTTACAGTTGTCTTGCAAGAAGCCTATACACAGTCCTTGAGGTGGCGAGAGAAGGGTTTCGCCTGCCTTAGGAGCTTACCCCAGTCTGGAGCTTTGCACCGTTCTGGCAGAGCAAACTCCACAGTTTAAGACAGGAGTGTGTATGTGTACACACACACACACACACACACACACACCCCTGGTCTACTCTGCTAGCAGCTCTCAAAGGTTTCTGACCCACATCCTTTCACTGGAGACGTGAGTTGCCAAGGGCTCAACTCTGGGCCTTGTGTGCACTCTGAGCTATGTGGGTTACTTCATAGTTAACACAAAGACTGTTCAAAATCAGTGGGCTCATGTGATCCTTGACTGGTGCTTTAGTGCTTAAAATCAGGCAGGAAATAACTTTTCCTTCCACAATGAATCTCCTTTGTCACACCAGTGAACAGACAAGTATTTGTAGACTCAGAGAGGTGCTAGCTGCATACTGAACCCCTTCCAAACCACTGCCCCCATACAAACAATTCACTTAACAATTCAGTCTGTGCAACATCCTCCATGTGTGCACATGTAGACATCTTGGTGGACTAATGGTCCCATTAACTTTCTGGCATGATTTCTAGCTTTGATGGTCTGAAATGAGAGCAGTGTTTGGATTTATGTCTTTACCTCAAATGCCTTCTTGGCTTTCCTTGTAATCATTTTCTGTGTTAGTTGCCGGAGGTTATACATTCTCCTGTGTTCCTCATTTGCCTTCTATTTATTTGAGGGTTTTTCTTGCTGCTAGCTTGATTCAAAAGAGTCTTTCTCAGTGCCCTGCTTAGCCATGTGTTCCTTTTTTATACTGAATTGTCTTTTTTTTTTTTTATTAAATATTTATGCTGAGCCTCTTATAATAGTTTTAGATTGCAAGAGGCAGTTCTGCTTTGTAACTGGCCCTTTTAAATGGCTCTAATTAGAATTCTCATTCATTAACTCCAGTTCCTCTTGAAGCTTAATGTTACTGTGGTGGCTATTTGTTTGCATTTTCCAGTATCTGTCCTTCTGCCGTCTTACAAAAATACAAGCACATTTGTAGTCATCACCACTGTGCTCCATTTACATTTTGAAAAAATGGCAACCTCTCATCATGTGGCTTTCAATGCTACCACATCTAGTCATTTGTGGTATTTAAAGCACTCTCTACATTGTACATAGAGGTGACATTTGCAGTTAACATAAACAAAATTTAAAATCACCCATTAAACTGTGTGCACTGTTCCCCATATGATTTTTCAATCTCTGTTTCATAGTCATAGCAATTAAAGATACACCATTAACTTATTCCACTTGGGCATTACCTTCTTCTCCTCTTCTTGGTACATGTTAGTCTAACTTGTATGTTCTCCTAGAGACATTTCAAGCAATGCTTACTTCTGCTCCTGTGCTGACCATCACAGAAGGTGCATGCGAATAAGCCAACATAAAACATGAGAGCTGGGAGACTGGGCATTTTCATGGTCTAGGCAGCTGGAATATTGCTCATATGAAGTTATATCTCCTGGCGCAAATCCTCTGTTTACTTCACACAGAATGGTGGCTGGGAGAACTTACGTAAACAAAGACATCAGCAAAAGGCGAAAGATTTACACTATCTGAGGAGAAACGTAGGATAACATGTCATGGCTCCCAGTACGTTTCCAAGTACAATTCAAAGTGTTGGTGCTTTAAAGCCCTAAATGGCCTTGGTCCAGTATATCTGAAGTAGCGGCTCCACCCCCATCGTTCTATCCGGACACTGAGGTCCAATGCCAAGGGCCTTCTGGCAGTTCCCTTACTGCGAGAAGCCAAGTTACAGGGAACCAGGCAAAGGGCCTTCTCGGTAGTGGCACCCGCCCTGTGGATCGCCTTCCCACCAGATGTCAAAGAGAACAACTACTACCAGACTTTTAGAAGACATCTGAAGGCAGCCCTGTTTAGGGAAGCTTTTAATGTTTGATGCATCACTGTATTTTAATACAGTAGTACCTCGGGTTACATACGCTTCAGGTTACATATGCTTCAGGTTACAGACTCCGCTAACCCAGAAACAGTGCTTCAGGTTAAGAACTTTGCTTCAGGATGAGAACAGAAATTGTGCTCTGGCGGCGTGGCGGCAGCAGGAGGCCCCATTAGCTAAAGTGGTGCTTCAGGTTAAGAACAGTTTTAGGTTAAGAACGGACCTCCGGAACGAATTAAGTACTTAACCCAAGGTACCACTGTATTTTGTTGGAAGCTGCCCAGAGTGGCTGGGGAAGCCCAGCCAGATGGGAGGG